ACTATTATTTGTTAGATAATGAGCTATACTTATACAAAAATCCATAAACATTAAACAAACAAACGAAAAATGGCAAAACTTTCAAACTTTCGGGTCCATATCACTTTGTCCAACACTATTCGAGTACAACTTAACTACAAGCTTTCCAGGCTTTCAGTAATAGCTGAATTGTGTAGCTGTAATCCTGAAAAGCGCCAAACGCCTGAAAAACTTGTTGTGGAGTTGTACTCTTAAACTTGCTGGCCCGTAGTAATAGAGGAAGGAAAAGGTTTTAACGATTATAATTGTGCTTTATCGTAATCACCAGGGAACGGAAGAAAAGAAAAGCAAAAACTCCATATTAAATGACGTACAAGAAATGGCTAAGAAATTTTCTTGTGTAAAATTTTCTTGAGGCAATACGCAGTTCTTAAGAAATTTGCTACGCTCTCTACTGCGGTTTTAAAAATTTTTTTGTGAAAAGAGAGCACAAGGCAACCCATGTTTGCAACAGAAATATTTACCCGTTCTATTATTTCTTGGACAAAAAGTGAGGCAACAGGCTGTGAAGTATCAGATGTCAAAACTCCTTCCACATTTGATGCTGCCTTTTAAAGATATATGCCTTTTATTGGCTTTTCTACCTTTAATTGTAAAAGGCAAGGAAAAAGCACTTATTCCTGATAATATGAAAGTTTTAAACGTTCCATGTTTAAATTGGGCGCCAATTGTTTTAACTCACGTCAAGCGCACGTGTAGTACATTCAAGGCTTTTCTTCGCGAAAATATAATGAAAATGCTGCCAGAAAACTTCAAAATACATCTTGGGTTTCAATGTTACTACAACAAGTTTTGTGAGTTAAACACTCGAAAGGAGAAAAAAGTCAAAGATTCAAAGTACAAATTTTTCATATAATTAAACAGTTCATAGTTTTTCCCTTTTTACTTAAAAAATAAACATTTCTAAAATAAATTTATTTTTGACCATTTTTCAGTTTTTGTCTTTTTAGTGCCTTATTTTGCTTTTTTTGTGACTTCTAGTGCCTTTCCCTGAATATTTCGTAATTTTATTTTGCCTCTTCTAGCCTATTTGGTTATTTTATTTTGCCTAAAAATTCATCCCTGGTAATCACCATTTCAACTGTTTCATAGTCAACTTAAAATGCATTTTATGGCAAAAACAGAATTTTTACTTTAAAATGAGGAGAACGTGATTTTAAAATGGTAAAATAAGGTTCTAAGTTTTGTTATGCTGTTGAAGTAGTAAACACGGTAGTACCCAAGGTCCGTCCCCACTCCGAGCGATTCTAAATAACATTTTTTTAAATTTATTATTTTTTAATATTTTATTTGATTTTATTAAATTTTATTTAAAGTTCTAATTAAAGTTTTCATATTTCTTTATATTCCTGAGTAATTTTTTTCTTTTCATAAGGATAGCTCCGTTCTCTCTCATCTTAACAGAAAGCTGTTTCTAAGCTATCTATGACACAACTTAAAAATCTATTCGAAACTTAAAACTTTAGCTTGAGTTTTACCTTACGACTATGATTATGGGCCATAATATTTTATGTTTCGTTATACATAAAAAAAAAAAAAAATAATTAAAAAAAACTATCACTGAGATTTAGCAAATTTTTTCCAGATTCTACCACACCAAATTTTTTTTAGTCCGAGCACTGATGTAAAAATCAATGTGGAAGTTCGATCGTAACATTGCTGTCGCACAAAAATATCTAGACCAAAACTATATATTTGTGAGTGTAAAGACTTCATTTAAATTGCTCAATGTTTTTGTGTTCAAAGTTTTTTTGTACATTAGGGCGGGTCGAAAATCTAACTTTTCTCAAATCCCTTGGTAATAGTGAAAATAGATTGTATCATGAGTCAACAACAAGCCTGCAAAATATTAGTCTTGTTAATTTTTATTGTGACGTATTCATATTTATTTCAATAGTGTTATTGAGCTTTGTACCACAATTTGTTTGTGAGGAAAAATGGAAAAAACAACAATGCTTAAGAGGTAGAAGTTATAGCAGCTATTTCGGAGATAACCACATCTCCTCATCAGACTTCTTTTTTTCTAGACTTTCAGCAGGGATCGAACCCGTGTCAGAAGTCAAAGTCAGGCAAAGTCAGAAGCGCTAACCACTGAGCTATGCACACCCCGTAAGCTTTTGTTGCTAATCAATTTCCTTATTCAACCTACTACATTCAAGTGCAGCTGATTCGCAGCTATTAAAGCTTGACAGCGTGGTTGTTATTGTCAATTCCATACATGAAATAGATTCATTGCATAGTTTTAAGGGCAGGCTCATCCCATATATTTATTTGTAAATTTTTAATGTGTCGATATTTATTTCAATAGTGATATTGAGCTTTGTACGACGATTTGTTAGGGAAAATGGGAAAAACAACATTTCTTAAGCGGTAGAAGTTATAGCAGCTATTTTGGAGATAACCACATCTCCTCATCAGACTTCTTTTTTTCTAGACTTTCAGCAGGGATTGAACCCGCGTCATCGATGTGCAAAGTCAGAAGCGCTAACCACTGAGCTATGCACACCCCGTAAGCTTTTGTTGCTAATCCATTTCCTTATTCAACATACTACATTTAAGTGCAGCTGATTCGCCGCTATTAAAGTTTGACAGCGTGGTTGTTACAGGCCAACCTAATAGTACCGGCGTGAATTTATCTACGTGAATTTGCGTGCGTGATTTTTCAAAGTGTATTTCTGTAAAATTTTAGAAGTTGAGCAAAATTTGAGCACAAATGCAGAATAGCTTCGATTCTCAAAGTCCCCTTTCAGACACGGCAAGTCTTGAAAGCAATTTTTTTCGCATTCTCTTTTGTGTTTTCTATTTGCTTCCACACGCGTCAACTTTAATTGAATTCAAGTCCTTGGTTCTTAAATGGGAAGCAACGAAAAGATCAAAAGAGACAAGAAAACTTGAAACGAATTGACGGTACGGAGGTATCTGTACTGTTCCCCTCTCTTCTCACCTCCTTCGCTTACGAACGAGCAGACTTGAAAGCAAGACTTGCCGTGTCTGAAAGGGGACAAATTTAGAAAAGCATATGGAAATCGATAGAGATCATTGAGATGAGTATAACGGTATATTTCTTTTCTTGCGGAAACAAGAATTACAAAAGTTATTAAGGGTCAAATTTCAAATTAAACAATTTTTTAAAGCAAATTTGTTTAAAAACGAATGTATGGATTTTAAAAGATTTGATTTCAATAGATAGAAAATTTAGTTCCCTTTAATCTGATATACATACTTTATATATGCCTTTACTTTATATATACCGTTACGTTCAGCTCAATCAACTCTATCGACCCCAATATTTATTTTTTTATTTGAGAATCGTAGCTATTCTGCATTTGTTCCAAAATTTTAATTCATAGTCGCGCCAAAATGTCAAATGAGCACAAACGTCAAATCGAAATGTCACGCAACACAAATCTTCGAATTTGAGTCAGCTTTTTACGCATGCCGGTCAATTTAGGTTGGTCCCATAAAGGTTGTATGTGCATGAGAAATTTTTGACAGTAAACTGCCAGCGTGCGTGAATATTAGGTTAGGTTGTTATTGTTAATTCCATACATGAAATAGATTCATGGTACAGTTTTTAGGGCAGGCTCATCCCATATATTTATTTGTCAATTTTTATTGTGGCGTGTTCATATTTACTTCAATACTGTTATTCAGCTTTGTACCATGATTTGTTTGTTAGGAAAAATGGAAAAAACAACAATGCTGAGCGGTAGAAGTTATAGCAACTATTTCGGAGATCACCACATCTCCTTCTAGACTATAAGCAGGGATCGAACCCACTTCATCGATGTGCAAAGTCATGAAATAGATTCATGGTATAGTTTTTAGGGCAGCCTCATCCCATATATTTATTTGTCAATTTTTATTGTGGCGTGTTCATATTTACTTCAATAGTGTTATTCAGCTTTGTACCATGATTTGTTTGTTAGGAAAAATGGAAGAAACAACAATGCTGAGCGGTAGAAGTTATAGCAACTATTTCGGAGATCACCACATCCTCCTCCTTCTAGACTTTCAGCAGGGATCGTACCCGCGTCATCGATGTGCAAAGTCAGAAGCGCTAACCAATGAGCTATGCACACCCCGTAAACTTTTGTTACTAATCCATTTCCTTATTCAACCTACCACTATCAAATGCAGCTGATTCACCGCTTTTAAAGCTTGACAGCGTGGTTGTTATTGTTAATTCCATACATGAAATATATTCATGGCATAGTTTTTAGGGCAGGCTCATCCCACATATTTATTTGTCAATTTTTATTGTGGCGTATTCATATTTATTTCAATAGTGTTATTGAGCTTTGGACCAAATTTTTTCCAGAATCTACCACACCAAATTTTTTTTAGTCCGCCACTGATGATGTAAAAATCAATGTGGAAGTTCGATCATAACCTTGTTGGCGCACAAAAAAATCACTTTTTCATATAATGGAATTAACTGAAATATTTATGTATACCTAAACACTTATTGCACGTCCGCTACTTTCTAGAGTTGGGAAGTTTAGTTCATTTAAGTGACCAGTGAGTCTAGTTCAAATCACTCAAAAGAACTGGTTCATTTAGTTCATCTAGTTCATTTAGGCATTTATGTTATTACTAGAATAACGAAATACACCCCCCATTCAAACACCAAATTAAGAATTTGTACATTTTTATTTGTAATTCAGTCATATGTACATAAGTATGTATGTATATATGTATATACATACATTGGAGATCAACTTTGTAAAAAAACACAAACGAGTATGGCTTGTAAATAAAAATGTGTAAAAAAAAGTACTTATAAAGAATTCAGTTCTTATAACACACTTATACTAAATATGTTAAGCCTGTATTACATTTCATTGTTTTTACATTTGAATTTGTTCAAAAACAAATGAGACTATAACATTAACTTGTTTTAAATATTGATCACAATGGTTACAATTAGATAATTTAGATATTGTACTTTACATATTGCTGTGCAAAAAAAGAATTTTTTCTACCATGGTTGGCTTCAGTAAAGTACGTCTGTCTCGTATTACTTGGCCCACGCTAGAGGATACCCTTTCGCAAGGCACCGATGTAGCCACTATACAAAATCTTTTCAAAATATGCCTGTATAGATTGGGACATGTTTCCTTGCGCACATGCCACCATTCCAGTGGATTATGGGTGCGATCTAAATAGGGTTCACTCAAATATCTATCCACTTCTACAATCGCAGCTACAGTTATACTCTGAGGCTTTACAATATTTCTGACATCTTTGTTGTAATCGTGCCATATATTGTTAACAGCTTGCGCCTGCGAATCGGGAATTACAACTTCTGTTTCACTTTGAGAAAAATCCGTCTGTACAATCTTATTTTTAAGGTTTTGAATAGCAATATCACACGCATTTGGTTCTCTAAAACCTTTCTTTTTAAACCTAGGGTCCAAAATAGTGCATTCGGCGTATAGCGGATTACTCTCTAAATTTTTAAATCGATTTTGAACACCCTGCCTCAAAGATCTATAAAACAATGAAAGCTTTTCGTTGTTTGGCGAAGTCTTTGCTAAATACCTTTGAATAAGATTGATAAAAACGATAACTTTAGATAGCGTCACATCTTTTTCAGAAGAAATTTCCGTAGTGATGTCATAAAAAGGCACCATTCAATGGTGGCTATAATAAGATCGGGTCTCAAAATGGCAATTGTGCTCATAACAGCGTCTTTAACTTCTATTATACGAGCCAACATATCGTACGTAGAGTTCCATCGCGTTGGCACACTTTGCTTCAATTTTAAAATAGGCAATTGCATTTGTACTTGAAAGTCCTTTAATTGTTTTAAAGCTTGGCTACTGCGGTTGAAATATACAACAATATTTTTAACTTTATCTACAACTGCCGTGATTTCAGTAATTGCTTTCTGAACAATCAAATTAAGTAGATGTGCAAAACAACCAATGGAACGCCACTCCCCTAACCTTACGGCACTTAATGAATTTGCAGCGTTGTCGGTAACTATGGCGGCGACTTTATTCGATATACCCCAATTCGCAGTCACTTCTTTTAAAAACCCACATAAATTTTCACCAGTATGACTACAATCAAGCTCTTTGCAGCACAAGAGAGCAGAACAAAGCGTGGTGTTTTTATCAATAAAATGAGCAGTTACAGCAATGTAACTGATGTTGGTAGAAGGCGTCCAGCCGTCGTTTGTGAGACATACTGCAAATGTATCTTGCAATTGGCTTCTAATTTCTGATTCTAAATCATTATACACTTTTGGTATCAAGTTTTGAGACAAAGTTTTCCTGGCGGGTAATTTATAACCGCCGCACTGTGACACCATGCTGGCCAATTTCACCATCTCCGGCTCTTCCACTAAACGCAGCGCATGATGGCCTTTAGCTTTCATCTTGACTAGTTGATGGTTGATTTTATCCACCTTTTTGGTAGTTGGCTGCTTTGATATATAATTTGTAATTACCGGTTGCTGCGACTCCCTCTGCGAAAGGTGTTCACTTTGTGGCGATGGCTGCGTCTGATTCATATGCCGTTTGAGGTTTCCCACCGATCCTCCATTGTAGCTGATTTGTGACGAACAGTGCTTGCATGTAGCTTTCTTCGCATCCCAATTCTTGAAATTGTTCCACACAAGCCTTCTTTTTGCTGGCATCTGAATAGAAATATGTATAGAACATAGCTTATAATTTTTAAATAAAGACATCGAATGTAAAATACTTACATTAACTCCAAAAACACTAGCGCATAGCTTTCGCGGCAACAGAAAAAAGAATTGGCGCAAATATGAAAGTGCTACCACCACGGTTGTCACATCATAAAATTGTGTGGCTGCCACTATCAATTTGTTGCAATGATAACTTAGGGCCCTGTCACACGCTCAGTATTTATTGACGTGATCCAAGTATCGCGATATTTATTGACGGTGTAGCATACAATATTGATGGATCGTGATCCATAACGCAAAATTTCTAAAAATTTTGAAATCTGGATCGCGGATCGCAATACCGTCAATAAATATTGTTCGTGTAGCACTTTCAAAACGCGATCCATACATTTCGTCAGTACATCTTTTGCTCTCACAATGCGAACATCGAAAAGGTATTTGATCTGCCTCCGATCTCGGTGCTTAAAACCTTTCAAATCAAATTGAAAAAATTTTAATTAACATTGGAAATTTTAAAATAATTATCTGAATCACTGTAGTGAATATATTTTATGACAGTAAATCAGTGTATCAATATATAAACTTTATCTTGTGGAGACGGCCTGTAATACAAAATAAGTAGAGTATGAGAAATTTTTGAAGTATGGCAAATCCACTCGTTTATTTGGAATTGCGAACTAGTTCACTTAGTTCACCAAGTGAACTAGTTCAATTAACGAAATAGTTCGTGAACGACACAACTCTACTACTTTCATATAACGGCAAATTTAGAAACCGCAAAAAATGTGCTTCTGCAGTGACTAATGAAACCATTCCACACCAATTTTCAAATCTGCATAAATGGACTTAAAATGGGCGTTTCTCACCCTAATTGTATTATGTTAATATATGTGAATATTTATATGCTTGAAACTACTATTAGATTATCAAACGATTCCTAATTTTTGGCAATACATGTTTGACTTCATTCACCACGATCTTGAAAAGTGACCAAATCGACTTGACCAAGTCCATAGTCTTTTTAATATTATATAAACATCCGTAAACATTAAAACGCTTGAAATAAATCTCGTCTCACTTCTTGTATTTTTCACTTGGTTTCTGAAGTAATTAAGAATTGAAAATTCATAAGGGAAAATTATAGTTTTTGTAAGTTTTATCTTAATATCTTAAAAACTTGTAGACTTACTGAAAAATGATAAATGAACGTGAGGTACTAAATTTAATTTGATATATCGTCCTGTTTATAATAATTAACGCATTCCACAGAAATTACAAGCCAAAGTTTCATTTTCAAAATATATACACTTTGATTCAATTGCGCGGGCTAAAGATAAGTTTTAAATTAATCGTTCGTGGCCAATAACAATTGGCTAAGACCTAAGACATCATAATATTACTATTACAATACGGTCAAATGCCTTTTATTTTCCCCCATACAAAATCGACCCAGCCTAATGTACATACATAAGTTGTTTGCAACCACGGAATAGGGAAATCGTGTTGTCGCTATTTGGCTGAAAAAATTTACTTAGGAAAAACGAGAAACATTTCTTAACACCAGTCCTTAAAAATTAACCGTTAAGTTATTCGAGGAGACTGGTAAAATATCCGACCGATCCTCCGGTCGTCCCTCAACTGTGCGAACGCCAAAAGCCATTAAAGCTGCAGAGAATCGGTTCCACCGAAATCTGCCTTAAACAGAAAATCATATTCCGGGAAATGAATGCCAGCAAGGACAACATGTCGGACATCATAAAAGGTGACTTGGGACTCAGCGCCTATAACCAACATACTAGACATTTATTTATGTACAGAACATTGAAACAAAAACGTACCTAAATAAAATTACGTTCAAATTGGCTCCATTTAACTTTTCGTTACACAATCGTTCACATTGAACATTTGGAGTTCTTATTGACGGCTGTTTGACTACAAATTAAAATTAAAATCAAGCCTTTGTGTTTCAATCTGTTTTGTGTGAATGTCTGCTCCTTGATATCAATTCATATGGTTTACTTAGAGACTTCAAATTGTTTAGTTCGTATGCACTATTTATCCCTGCGGGCGATGAGGCATGATGGGAAAAACTAATTATCGCATTGGCCTCTTTTTTGGCAAGCATTATTTTTTATTATTGTTGGGGATAGAGCACTGCGACCTTAAGATCTATTGTGCCCCCTTCATGGATTAAAGTGTGTCTATTAATCCAGTGTCCGAGAGAAACTTTAGTATGGAACCTAAATCTGCGGATTTCATTTCGCCTTTGGTTATCAGATGTTCACCCAGGTGCCTTTTGCGTTTATGCATCAGTGCAGGACGTTCTTCTAAGATGTGCTTTGTAGTCTCGATTTCCATCCTGCAAAATCTGCATCGCTCATGCGAGTAAATTCCCAGTTTAGTCAGGTGATAGTTCGGCCTGCTGTGTCCTGTCAAGATTCCTGTAACAATTATTGAGTTATTTTTTGATAAGCTCATAAAAAAGTGCTTTGGACTGCTCTAGACCTGGTAGATTATCCAAGTAGTGATTCCTCTAAATCTCTTCCTCTAGCCGAACTAGTTCAGATAGTGCCCTTTTTCCCAAGCCGCAGAAAGGCTATGGGTCGGTGAAAGGGGTTGATGCACTGTGTTGATAATTTCGATACAATTGTACTTTTTTGATACAATTTCAAGTGCTTTCTACTTTCCTACTACCCAGCACTTTTTAGTGCAATTTCATCTGTAGCCAAAATTTGGCAGCACTTGATTCGTTAAGTTATACAGGACTGTTTTGATTAATTTCTGAGGTGGTAGATTTAGAATCGCATAAAATTGATACACAAGACGTGTACTGGGGAGCAGAAGCAGAATTATTCATTTATAAAAACAAACAACAACTAAAAAAGGAAAATATTCTAAATTTTAGAAAAAACGTAAAACAATTTTGTGTAAATTTTTGTCGTACTATGAAGAAAAAAAAGTTCTCATTTTCGTTGTTGGTGTTTTCGACAGGGTAGGAGTGTGATGTAATGTGGAACGATTTTCCGTCATCCCTTGTCAAATTTGGTTTTGGAAACCGGTTTGTCTCAAAGGTGTTTTTATACCACCAACAAATTACAGCGAGTATTGCATCTGGAGATTTCTTTCCTCTGTACCTGAAACGCAAATAGTTTTCAATCGTTAACATGTTTAAATTGTGCACTCTGACAAAGATATTAGAAAAATCGCTTCCATTTTAAATAAGGTAACTATAGAGTGTGCATATTTTGAATTCCTAGATTTTTCTAATATCTTTGTCAGAGTGCAGAATTTAAACATGTTAACGATTGAAAACGAATCGACCTAACTTTTGCTAACCTGAATTTGTTCCATAGTGTAATAATAAGAATCAAAATTTGCTACAATTTAGTGATAAAAAGTATAATTTGAATTACATTTTCATACGAAATTGGAAAATGCAATTATCAACACTGTTTATGCACCTTTCTTCGCTAGTTTATCGGCAATCTCGTTTCCTTTAATACCAATATGTCCCGGAATCCAGAGAACCCAAACGCGATTGGTCAGACCAAGAGTATTAAGCTTGTCGAGGCATTCCATCATCAGTTTACATGTTACCTGGTGAGATCTGAGGGCCTTGATAGCCACTTGGATGTCAGTCAAGATCGCGATGTTCTAATTTCGGTAGTTTCGCTTGATATTAAAGTCCGCGCATCTTTCTATGGCGTATGTATCAGCCTGGAAAATATACATATGTTTTCCCATGGGTTCCGAGTATCTTAACCTCGGTCCAACTACCCCTACCCCGGTACCCTCGTCGGTCAATGAGCCATCAGTATACCAGGTAATCATGTTTTGGTTTATCCGATATGTTTCGGATATGCCTGCCCAGCTCTTCTTATTACTCAGATCAGTCTTAAACCTCTTTGTAAAGCTGAACCTCGGATGCATGGTATTCCTCGGTATTGGAATTTCAGGGAACTTATTCGTAAGAATATCCAACTTCCCACGACTAAGACACCCTGCTGCCCCCATATTGGTACCAGTCATCCGTAGTAAAGCTCTTTTCGCCTGAGTCTGTATGGGAATATGAAGAGGGGTAAGATCTAAAAGAAAAGAAAGAAAGATGCGGTTGGACAGGTTCTCATGGCTCCCATTATGCACATGCATGCCAGCCTTTTTATCTTGGAGGGCACTTTGATTGCTCCAAGTTGTGAAGTTCTATCGGCCCAAACGATGGCTCCATAAGCTATCACGGGTCATACTATTGTCGTGTAGATCCATCTCAGTATATTTGGTGAGCAGCCCCAGCTCTTTCCGGGCATGGACCTACACGTCATAAATGATCTTACAGCTTTCTTCGCAGTTTCTTCCACGAGTATCAGAGGTAGCTTCTTTGCAGAGTAGTTTTTGGTCTAGTATTACTCCTAGGAATTTAACCTCTTTTTGGTACATAATTTTTGTTCCATCTAGCCTTATCGCTTTTAGACTATCAAGTTTGAATTTCCTTGAGAATGGTACTATAGTGGTTTTTGCTGGATTTACATTCATCCCCACTTTAGCGAACCATTTTTTGGTTACGTTCAGCCCTAGCTGGATCACACAGGGTGTTTTCGAATTTTCCCCTGCATATTATTAAAATGTCGTCTACGTACCCCTGCCAAGTTAGTCTAGTATCTGTTAGCTCTTTGGAGCAGTCCGTCGACGACTATATTCCATAGTAGCGGAGATAACACTCCATTATGTGGACAGCGCCTTGTTATTCCGGCAACAACCGTATTATTCGTACAGGTTTGTATTTCTACCCTTCTGGTGCATAGCATCCAATTAAAACGTGCTCTGATGTTCAGAAAAGCGCATATAGCAGTCTCCTTACAGTAGGAGTAGAGCGGCCCGCCATATATGCATGTTGGCGCGAATTCAGCGGATAGTTCAATAAGACCGTAGTCCTTACATTGTTTTCTACTACCTTTTTTAAAGCTTTTAGTACACATGAGGTCAGGAAGATCGCCTGAAGGATTTTGGATGAAGTCGTTCCTTCTTTCCAACCTTCGGGATGAAAACAACGTTCGCTATTCTCTACGCATCTGGTATATAACCCAATGCTATGCTGCTTCTAACTATTTTTAATAGCGGTCCAATC